TCTGCAAAAACTCCAGAAGTGACACTATTGAGATCAACACAGCATTTGTTATGAATAATTTAACTACAAACTGCCAGGACATCTCATTTCAAATCTAGTTTAACTGTTAGAATAAATTACTACTAACCAACACTCATCACAGAGTTTCAAAGTCATCATTCTCACTGGTATTCAAAAGCTCTTCAGGTTTTCACTAGCACCAAAACAGAATAAATGCTAAAAGCAAAACAGAATTAAAAGCTCCAAACCTTCACAAAACAGAGCAGCTAACCAAAAATCCCGCTTGAGGTTCTTTTTGTTTGATGATGCTCTTCTCTCCTGACTAGCCTGAGCTGACTGGAGTCAATTTCAACAGAACCAGTAGCCTGATAAATTACGGTAATTTGCAAATAAACAAATACTTGGAGATAAACATTCAAATGAGTGTGTGGTGTTACAACCATGTCAAACCTAAAAGAATGCCATGCCTAAGCTGAACACAAACATTGAGCACAAATGTACAACAGGATGACTGCATGCTAGCAGATGAGCCTTCTTACATACCAGTCTTAAAACACTCTTGATGACAAGTCATTAACCAGAGAAACGAGAGTACAGCAAGACATGGAAGAAAACCACTGAAATTCCAAGCTTAAATCTTGTCCTCACGAAGACACAATCTGCCTGACAACTAAATGCCCTGAAGGACAGTCCAGTCCGTGTGGAAGTAACGTCACCTGTGCGTAAGAACAGAATTTAGCTTTAAAAATACATGTGTTGTAACAAACTGGCACAGGTAAATGTGTGCTCTGGAGATTAACATCTTGAGCTAGATTAGAAAGAATTATTTTCTCCTCCTATGGAGCACTGCAAGCCTTATTAGAGCTTGCCTTCCTGTACAACATCTGGCACGGACTGACACAAGCTACCTGACTAAAGGAAATGTTAGTCTAGTGACACATCAAAAACGTTTATCTCTGTCACGAAAAGCTGTGCTGAAAAACACTACCCTATATACGCTTCCCACTTCATTCATCTCCCTAATCTATTTCAAATCACATTAGGGACCATGAGGTGCCCTAGCTGGAGTGCTCTGGATGCTGAAACGCTCTTCCCACAGCCCAGTTACTCAACTCGGCACAAAATGCTGTTCCCACAGGGTGGGGTTTGCAGCCTCCACACCCATCAGAGCTGGCTGCAGGTGAGTGCCGTCGCTCCAGTCCCTCTGGCTGTGCCATGCACCTGCAGGCATGGGCTCATAGCAAAGAAGAACAGTAGAAATACTGAGAGATTTGGGAAATTTTCTGCCAAGAAGGAAGATAAATAACCAGTGACACCTCCAAGGCTTGAAGCTGATGGAATGGTTGGTCCCTGAAAGCTCATGAGAGCTCCAGCTGACTCTCTCACGTTACTCCTCGCAGCACAATTGGGCACAAACAACTCGCTGGTAGTGCCAAGAGTTGGCAGAGGTGTGCCCAGCTTTTGACACCAGCTCCCCAGGAAAAGAAAAGGAACTGGGACATCCTCCTCCTCCTCCTCCCATGGACACCATCACATCACACTGAAGGCACCGGGCTTCTGGCCACCAGAAACTGTCAGTAGGAGTTACTGGCAATAGGTACACTCAGTGAAAAAAGTACCAGTGATTCACCTTGTCAAGTATGATCAGAAAAGCAAACTCTTACCTAAGTGTTTCTTTTGGAAGACAGAAAACAAGGGCTAAACCTTGTAAGAAAATTGGTCTGTTTATGTGAAATCAACTTGGATCAAAGCTAGCAGATTCTCAAAAGAGAAGGGAAAAGATGTACAGATAATGGCAAAAAGAAACAGACAAATCTGCTCATTATTTGGTATTTGGAAGAGACAGGGGAAAAGTAAAGTGACTTCACAGAAGTTCACTTTTATCTGCATGACTTCCTACACATGAAAAACAGCACAGACAAACCCAAGCCCTTACTGAACAGTAAGGAAATCCCAGAGACTTCGTCAAATTAACCACGCAGAGCCCAGAACCAGCAAACTCATGTTCTTCACTTTATCCTCTGTTTTCTGTGTGCTTGTTCATTGTTAGACTTAATTTTAGAAGGGTAACACACCTTTTTATGTCCTTCCTTTTTTATAATCAGCCACACAATCATCTTGTGAAAGAACATAAACCATTGATACAAAACTAGCTGGGGATATTCCACTAGTTTAGACTCCAGCTGACCTAGAAAACACCAAGACCAAAACTCTGAAGAGTACCTTAAGAATATATGTAATTATAATAAGCAAAAGCATTTTTGCTATACTGAAAGAGATTCAAACTGCAAATGTTCATTACTTCTACTACTAGAATCAGAAAATCATGGAATTGGAATTCTGTAAGGAATTGACCATCAACTTGAAAACACCAAGGTTCCTTCTGCTACAACAGGGGGCACAACTTCCTTTTCCCCTCCAAATTCCAGACACAGCTCTGCACACAGACAGTTTGCCTGAAATTTCCCAGGAAAGTGATGGGAAGGCTCCTTCACTGAAATTAGCTGGTGACCAGATCAGATTTAGAAACACTACTGAAGTAAGAATTTGGAAATCTCCAATAACATTTATGCCTGAGATGAAGAGGGGAAGAAAAGACAACTATTGCTCTGACTGGACTGAAGCCACACAAATAATTTCTGATTTCAAAACTACTTTAAGGAAGTTTCATTTACTCTTCAAAGTCTTGACTCTTCCACAACATATGCTGAAACTGCTCTCATCCAGCATGGGAAGCAAAAAGGCCCAAATTTGACATTTTATTTAAAATACTTCAAGGGAAGCAAGCACTAGACAAGGAACACATTTCCAAGCCAAGAGGACACATTTCCTCTTAACTCTGCTCACAGGTGAAGCTGGAGTGGGTATTTCAGTAGGTCTGACACACAGAATTTCTACCTCCTCGTACAGAAGTTCAGATGGAGTAAAACAAAACTTAGATCTAAAAGCAGCACTTATAATTATAAACTCCATCCCCAATATCAGCCAAGAGAAAGTATCACAGTTTGAGGATTTTTTCCATGTTTCATTTTTTTTGCACCACAAGTGTCATTCAAGTGCACCTTTCCACAATTAAAAAATTACCTCAGAAGAATCTAAACATTTCTCCAAGAAGTTTGCTCTTCAGAAACTGCTTAGTAGATTTGCCAGTGCTAAAACCCAAAACAACCTCCACAAAAAACAACCCAGCAAGTAAAAAGCTGCAATTATTTTTGGGACAACTGAAAACAGAGGTGGAAAGGCATTCCCTGCATTCATGGACAGGCACCATGTATGTTCTGATTCCAAAGGATATTCCACAGCTCAGCTTTGAAGTGTAACCCCTTCCTTTACGGGTTGAACACACAGAAAAATCCGTATGAAATTTGCCTTATTGCATTTAATGAGCCAAATTCTCCCCAATGCGCTTCCACTCCTTAACAGAGCACATCAAGGACCAACCTGGTCCTGCATGAAGAAAGTACAGAAATTACAGCTTGAAACACAGTGCAATCCAATCCATGAGTAATTTAGAAGACCCAGTTTTTCCTGGTTCAGCCCAGCATTCCAGGACGTACCCCATCACCACACAGCACATTGGTAACCTGGCTACTGGCACATGCTTCAGCACCTGTTACCAATAACCTGATGATGAGCTTGTTAAGGCTGCTCACATTGAAAATTACTCAGATCTACGAAATCATAGAGTGTAGTTTATTTCAAGCATCAAAATTCAACATATAGCATTAGTGTGCTGAGCAAAAATAAAAGAAAATCTGTTTAAAGCAAACTTGTCAAAATACTTATCTCAAGAATTAGAAATTTCTTAACCTACCTTCAAGCCTGTAACTGTACAAAAAAAAATTTAAGTAACCTTTCAAAAACAAGGGGAAAAATAACCTCACAGTGAGAGTGAGAATACTTGAATTCAGCAAAAAGAAAGTTTACACACAACTTTCACCAGCTGCAAGTAACAATCATTGAAAGATCTTTATTAGAGAGCAGCACCTTATGAGAACTTGTTGTATCATCCTGTGCAATGTTTTATGTTTAATGACTCCAGGCTGCTATTTACCTGCAGTGATTCCTTTGGGCCAGAAGCAGATGAGCCACAAACACGTTTAGGCTCTGACACTGCTTACTTATTCACTCCCATATTCCTTACAGACTCACGTGAAAACACAGATAACCTTCGGGGCGAGGGATCCCTAATCCCCGACACCTGGACACAGGCACTCCAGCTGGGAATTAAGGAGCAATTAACACGGCCCCGCTAAGACTCCCTTTCCACAACAACAGCCCACACCGTGTGTATATTTACCTACAATGTATCATAACAACCCCTCCGCTGCAGCTGACAAGCTGCTGGAAAGGCAGGGCAGAAGCAAGGCAGAAACAAGCTATGCAGCTGCCTTGTAACAGTAACACTCCTCACAGTTCATCAGAGTGACTTTGTCCACAACGGTTAGCTCAAAAAACATCGTGTTCTTCTTGATCATAATTTTCTTCTCACAAAAAAGTTTAATCTGAGGGAAAAGTAGTTTTCCTCATTCACTCATAGTCTGACAGGCCTTAAAGTTGTTGTTTAAATGCAATGGGAGCACAGAATTCAGTGAAGCTATAATGTTTAAAATAAAATCTGCAATGGAAACTTGTTACTGACCATACTCCCACAAAAAAAAAAAAAAGAAAAAACCAACCAACTAAAACTTGCAAAACGTTTCTGACAAATTATTTAGATTCAAAAATGAAGAGACTGCATTATGTTAGATTTTAGCTTTTGAACATCTCTTCTCAAAATGCTTTACAGCAACTTCTGATTTCAGTCAAACCATGAAACATTTAACATGGAAAAAAACAGGAATCAACGCAAAAAAATCATACCAAGGAAATAATTAAAATTGTATTAAAAAAAAATCTGTTAAAACATTCAGCTATTTTTATCATTTCCGAATGCTTAGCACATGAACACAAGAAAACGGGGAGGAGGCACCATAAACACCAGATTAAAATATACCCACCCCTAGCTGAAAGCTTTTTGGTGTTGATAATTTTGGCAGCGTACTCTTGTCCTGTGGTGATTTTCATACACCTCCTCACGACGGAGAACGCCCCTCTGGAAACCAAAACCGGGCAAAGTGTCAGTCCAACTGAAACACTCCACTGCCATTACCAGCTAGCGGGCAGCACGGAGGGGTGTGATGTCGGCAGAATTTAAAAAAAAAAAAAAAGGAAAGGAAAAAAAAAAAAAAAAGAAAAAGGCTTTTCTGACAGGGACGGTCAGCATTGATTTTATTCAGCTGAACAGTGAACTCCGCGGGGTAGGAGCCTTGTGACCAATCCCGCTAGCTGGGGCGGAGGGCGGGCAGGTTTTACGCTGTGTCTATGCCGGCACACCGCGGGGGACACAGAGCGGCGGTGGCCGTGTCCCCCTCGGTGGTGACACCGACACCGGGGGGGCGACACCCAACATGGCGCTCAGGGCTGCGCCTCCCGCCCCGCCGCTGGGGGGCGCCCGCCGCGCTCCGACACCCCTCACGGCCCG